CTGCCGCTGGGCACCCGCCGCTCGGCACCCGCCGCTCGGCACCCGGCCGGGCGCGCCGCAGGCGCTGTTGCTGGAAAGTTGATTCGGAAACAGTCCCGGCTTTACTATTGATTAGCTCCCCTGCTGCCGCGGGAGCCCCTGGCGAGCACCTGGAGGTGCCACGGCCGCGTGTCTGCGCTCCGGCGCGGCACGTTTAGCTGTCGAGAAGGGTCTGCGAGGGGGGAGTGGAAGGGGAGCGAGGGGTGGTGGATGTCACCCGTGCTTCTGTTCGCCTTCTCTTGGAAAAAGCAGGCCGTCAACTTCTCGGGGTGAGGAAGGCGCCCGTTTCCCACGGCGCGTTCCTTTGTGAGCAGCCCTCCGCTCTCTGTTCTTTGGGCTTACCCAGTCCCCGGGAAACAAACACCTGAAGGTCCAGTAAGTGCTACTCGGGCCGGACCAGCTGGCGAGTGGAACAGTATGTGAGCGGACAAAGGTCGGCTGGGTTCGTTGGACGCTGGCGATGGGAACAGGGTCAGTTTAAAGGGCTAGCAGTGCAGACGCCATCAGTGAAACTTTCCGATGACGATTTTTTGTTTGTTTCCTTGCTTGTTTAAACCTCGTGGCACGCTTTTGAAGGTGTTTTTAAATGTCCGTCCCTAGGAGATAATTATTAACTATTTGAAAAAATTACCTGGGATTATAGGCAGTGGAGGGCTCTTAATCTCGGCACGCAGATTACCACTACTACTGCGTCTCCCACTGAAGCCAGTTTAGAGGCATCTGTAACTGGAAAACAAAATGCCTTGAATCAACTTTTTGACCAAAAAAAGGTTACATTAAAAGTCATCTTTGTTCTTGGAACTTCTTAATCAGATTATACAATGAAAATCTAAACAGTATAGTCAGGTCCCTTTAGGCTTCTGCACCTGTAATACGTTTTTACACAGAGCTGGATTCATGACACTAATCATCTCAGTTCATCTTAGTACTTGATAGTTTGGCTTTGAAATTAATAGGCAGCGAGGTAAAACATGGCTACCCTAACAGTGTATTAGAAGGTAATGTTTGATACAACCATTTGATTTTGTGTGGGTAGCTTTGAAATTAGGTCAGTCCTCACTAATGCAACACACTTGAACAGTAGCGTAGTGTATGATAGTGCACTTAGCAGACATATATTGCATGTAGAGTTATTATAAGTGATGCACATGTGACCATACTGTGTATCGTAACAGGTATTTGTCATATCCTGACAGGAAGGGGCTACCCTAGAAAAATGTTTCTGTCTCCAAACCAGATGTATGGCTTCTGGGAGGTACATTGTGAGCAGCTCCAAAGAACAGAAGAAAGATAAAACTTAGATTGCTGAAAAAACAAAATACAACTAAATACAGAACAAATCAGAAAGTGGTGTTGGTTCTTTCGCAAAGGCTTCCCCACCACCACCCCAGAAGCACACATTAGAATATCTGTATTCTACAAGCTGGATACATTTAGGAAAACATAATTTTCCTGAGGTGTGAGAACTCAGATGGGGGGAATCTTAATATCATTCTCAGTATCAGGAAAAAAAAAAAAAAAGTCTGCAATTATTTCTTTTTTGGCAGGCAAATGTTGCCCCCTGTGTATGGCTTCTCTTCACTGCACATTTTAAGGGTGAACGTTGCGATTAATTATTAAAAAAGCTGACTAACAGTGATTTTCTGAAGCTACAGCTATAACCTTTTAAAGCCAGATAGGGAACGGACCCTGCAGAGTTAAGAAGAGCAGGGCAAATAACCAGAAATAAGCAACCTCTGCACGGAGGTGTGTGTGAGGTGTGGGAGAGACCACAGCAAAGGATGTGAGACTCTGGCACCTTCCTGATCTGATGAGCAGAGCTGGTTGATGGGAGAAGGAAGTGTGTATATCAGCATCTTCAAGGCTCCCAATCAGCTTAAAATTTTCCTTCCAATATATACTTCTTATCTTTGTCTTTTATTTTTTAACATGTTCAAAGCAAGTGATTCACATAAGAGCAGGGTCCCATTGTCCTAATTCCCCAAAAGGTAATATAGCCAACCTGGAGGAATTCTCCTGTCATGAAGAGCTATTAAGGAAAGAGTGTGATAACAGCAGCATTAAATTACCAGATGAGCAGTATAAATATTTTCCTGTTTTTCCTCGGGGAATTTGAAAATTTTTTTGTATACAAATTCACACATCAGAAGGGTGTCTGTATTCTTTTACCTTTCGTGTCTTTCTCCAAAAAAGAAAGAAGAAATCCTTCTTTCTTCTTTTTTTTTTCCTAAATGAAGGGTGCTCCTGTAAATCCACAAACATTGGACAGGCAAGTGCAATAATCTAGGCTCATTTTTTAATTGCCCAGTTTCCAAATGGATTAAATGGTCCTAAGGGCTAATACAATATTGTTTCTCAGGAGACATCCAGTAGACCCTTTTTTATACAGCCTTTCTGTGCAGAGAATGCCCTCAATAACAGAATAAACTTTGCAACAGCTGATATGTAATGGCACATTTTTATTATCCGCTTTATCTATGGTTGCCAAACTCTATTTCAATGTACACTGTAGCTTTATTAAGAGTAAGAGAATATAAAGTATCGCTGCGTCTTTGTCATTTCCGTGTTTTATTTTAGTCTACCAGAACAAAACAACTAAATGACACCATTAATAAGGATACACCTTTGCCTGAACTTGTAAGAATGAGAGATAGCAGAGATTTCCTGTTTTACACATGAAAAAAATCACTGTGGCATGACCTGGACCTTAGTAATAAACAGAATGAACTTTTTAATTAATTCCATATCTTCTCAATGAGAAGTTTAAAGTTCTTATCCTGTGGATATAATTTTAAGTGTAGCATCACTGCTTTCACACTGATGGATCTACATAAACATTGGGATCTAGGACTTGGATGGAGACCTCTTACTTTGTATTACTCACTAACCAATCTACAGGATTCTCTTGAAATGACTGGTTATAAATAAATAATAAAAGGTGTTACTCTGCAGGTAGGCTATGCTCTTATTCCATTCCGTTGAAATGGTGTGCAGCGGTCAGTTGCCTGAACTGACATTTGATATGGCTTTGGCCACAGTGGTCTCATTTGATTTAAGTAAACTAGGATCATCTGCAGATACTGTGCAGCTTTGCTCCCTCTGCTTTTCTTCCAGGCGTGTGTTCCTGTTCTAACTCACTTCACTAATACCCTCATGTTTAGGTATGGTTTTATAATCCTATTTTCTCAGTTTTTCATTTTCTAACAGGCACATAGAGTACTAGCAGCTGTATTTGAAGTACAGATTGAAACAAATTATCGGAGAACATTTTTATTACTTGTGTCATCACTCATCCTTCACTGCTCCCATTTTTCCCCCCTAATAAATATTTCCTGTAGTATGTTCCACGCTGGTACTTTTTGTAGTTGTTTCGATATGCTTAAACATACGCTAACGCACCATCTAATGCCTTCCCATCTGAAGTAAGAGGATTAAGAAGTGCCTTGAGCACATGTGCAGAGACGGTGGCTTTGTGCAGAGTGGGGAACTGTCATTCTCCTGAGACAGTCAGGTTAGTTTCCAGAAGTGGGTTTCCAGCAGTGACTTGTCCAGCTTCTGTTTCTCTACCTGAGTTCTGAAGCTTGTTTCTTTGTATGTTTGGCCTAGGTCTTCTTAATACTTTTTTATTTCTTTTAAGGAAGGGCTAATATTAGTGGCAAGGAGTCCTGATCTACTTTGTGCCATTGTGTATGTAAGAGCTATTGTTCCAGTCGCAGAAAGCTCTCTTAGACACATTTCTGTTTGTTTTGCGGTGGAAGAGAGTTTCTGAGTCTCCACATGTCGGAAGAAGAGATTGACTCCCAGGAAAGGAAGCCAAGTCCAAATGGCAGGATTTAGAGAAAACACACATTATAGAACAATGTTCTATGGCCTTAAAAAATTAATGAATGACATCATACTAAACACTTCACTCAGAGGACCCTGTGCCCTCGGAGTGAATGCAGATGTTGAACTTCTGCTTGGGACAGGTATGATACATGTCATGGGATCAAGGAATGAACAATATGCTAAAAAAACCCAACTGAACTGAGAGTAGACAGAGGACTGAAAAATAAAAGGTCTGTAATGTGCAATAAGCGTGACACCACAGATTTAGAGACATGCGTATGTAGAAGTACTGTATTAAACATTTGGAAAGCAACAAATTACCCAGTCTGTTTTTTCTTAGTAAGACCACTATAAATTTTTTGTAATAAATTTGAATTGCATGTCAGTAAGTAGACTTGGAAGGCAGAAACTTTGGAAGGGCCAGAGGAAGGGAAACAGTGTGAGTCAGAAGAAACACTGGAGAAAATGTTTTGGCTCATTTTTCCCAGCATACGGCTGAGTGAAAATGCCTGCTCAGCTCTACCAAAAAAATACAGAGAACATTTACCCAACCTGGGCAACAACCTATCTAGCTCCAGGAACTCCCAGAATCTTAAAGAGATCAGACACTAAATTTCTTACCAAACGAGAAACTAGATGTTATTTTTGTTAATTATTTTTATTTGATTGCCCTACCAAGAATGCAAAAGGTAACCCAAGAGAAAACTAAAAAGCTAAAAAATGGTTCATTAGAATGAGACACAGTCTTTTAAGTGTGACAATATATACACATGAAATTCTGGCTAGGCTGAAATATGTGAAATAAAAGTGTGGACAATATTTCTCCTGCTACAGCAAGTCTGGTTATGTGCATAAAAAAAGGTATCTACAGGAATAAAGACTGGGAAATATGTGGCAGGCTTCATTAAGGCACGTGGTGAAATATTGCACTGTTCAACAGCTTAAATCAGCTAAATTCTCATTGCTATTTGATTACCAAATGCAACTTTATTTCAGGATACTTTTTAAAAAATCTCATTTGGTAAACTAAATGAAAAATTTGCTTCTCCAGAATGATGG